CAATATTTTCATTACCATGTTTACTACAACATCCAAGAGGTGGAAACAACCTAAATGTTCATGGACAGATAAATGGATACAGAAAATGTAATGGAAGGGCTGGGGTTGTAGCCCAGTGGTAGAGCGCTTGTCTAGCATGTGTGAGGCACTGGGTTTGATCCTTAGCACCACATAAAAATAAATAAAATAAGGGCATTCTGTCCATCTACAGCTACCAAATTTTTTTAAAGATGTAATGGAATATTATTCAGCCTTAAAAAGAGGACATCCTGCTCTATACCACCAATGAAGACTTTGAAGACATTACAGTAAGTGAAATAAGCCAGTCACTAATACTGTGATTCTACCTATATGAGATATCTATAGTAGTCAAACTCCCTGAAGCAAAGTTAGAATAGTGGTTGCCAGGGGGTAGGATGAGAAGGAAATAGAAAGTTGTTCAATGGGAATGGAGTTTTAGTCATGTAGGATGAAGAACTTCAAGAGATCTACTGTACAACAACATGCATACAGCTAACAGTACTGTATGCTAAGAAATTTAAGGGGTAGAATTCACATTACATGCTATTTTTATTTAACGCACACACAACCATCCCCCACCCCATGAAGTATCGAAAAAACATTTATAGAGACCATCTTTAAAAGAGTCAAAGGCACATATTCAGAAAGACTTTGGCTTAAATGTTAAGTTGGAGGATGATCTTTTTAGGTCAAAATCTCTAGAAATCTTATGATTCTTCCCAAGAAACCATTAATATGTCCCTAAAACCTACATAGTCCAAAGACTATACATTAATTTTTAAAATATGAAAATGTAAGCACTAAAATGCATAAAAGACTAAAATAAAATTTTTTTAAATATGAGTAGATCCTAGGATCATGAGTGATTTCTTTAACATAAAAAGAAGTTGCTTTATGACACCAATATCGAGGGAAAAAGAGTATCTAATACTGATTAGAACAAATACTTAGCCTCTATTTCTTTTTTTTTCTTGGAAACTTAACAAAAAGTAAAGGTTTATCTTTGCCACCCTGAAGGAGTTAATATAACATGCTCAAAAAAACCAAAAAACAAAAATGTGCCTCCTCACAGGGAAGGGCTTGTGGTGTAGACATAGCACACCAATAACACGTAAGCACTAGATAATCAGGTCTGTATGAAATAATGAGTCACTGACAGAAATGTCTCCCTGACTCTGACCCAAGGGGAATCTCAAAATTGGCAGGTGAGGAAACATATTTGTGGGTAAAAAAAAAACCCAAATCCAATAAACTATAATAAAAAGATGAAGATATTGAATTGAGAGTAGTTCCTCATACATCCAGTACCACATGAGTAAATTTTTCTTTCAAAGTGGGGAATACTTACTTTAAATAAAAATCTTCAGTTTTGTTTCCATTAAATGGGGGGAGAAAACCCCCATTTAGGTTAAATATTTCTTTTTCATGAACTGTTTACTCAGTTCTTAAAAATTAACAGCATCAAGATCCTAAAACATACAACTGCCATTTAAAAAAGGTAAACAGCAAGTGCATAATCATGGCAGCACAGCAAGAGAACACAGAGGAGAGAGAATAATTCTGATGATAAGGAAGGACAGGCTTCTTGGTGGTGACTTTAATGGTGGGGGGATGAGCAAAAGTGGGTTTTCCCAGAGAAAACAAAGAGGGAAGAAGGGGAGGTTGCTTCTGCAAAGAGAAACAGAGTGTAGAAGGAGCTAGGAAAAATGAAACACAAGTTGGGTCAGAATATGAAGGGTCCCAAAGGACCCTCTCAGGCATAAAATGCATAAAAAAGCATTAAAATACCTTTTTCTGTGGGCGCTGCGGACACAGATGCAATGTTTTGGCAGGGGAGTTAACAATTGGATTTGTAAGGCTGAGTCCATGTGCCTGCTTCCTCCTTACTAATCTGCTGCAACCTAAAACTTCAGAAATCTTAGTGGTTAGCATCTGACTGACTACTTTAAAGGCTCTCCTTCAGAATGGAGATGGGTGGCTGTTCGCAAATTTTATTGATTCACCAGTGGTGTAGTGAGGAGGGACACTTACTCCCTACTCCTCATGTTTGCAGATGAAGAGAGGTCCTAGGAGTCACCCTCCTGGGTAAATAATAATGAGCATTGATGGTGAAATATTTCCAATATACCTTTGCTTAATGGGATACCAGATTAAACCATGCTGGAGAGCAATGGAAGGCAGTTCTCAGCTTCTATATTGGATATTTATCCATCAGTCTAAGTAGACTGCAAAATGAGCATGAAGATATTAAAAATAACTATGGAGGCCCAGGAGAATTCCCTGTGATAGATAAAAACAAGCCATGGACATGTTTACCATCTTGAAGAAATCTGGATTGTCCACAAGGAGTTGAATGCCTTGGAATGCAACATGCCTATCAGGTCTAGGCTCTGCCCACTGGTAGGATCTGAGATGAAATGAAAGGTGATATTTAAGAGCAGATAACCCTGCTGCACGACTATGAGCAGGTTCTTTAACCTTTCTAACTTGTCCTCATTATGTAATATGAACAACATCAATGATACACTTTACCATGTTGTTATGAAAAGTAAATTAGAGGGCCTATGAGGTTCAGTACAGAAATCAATAATTACAATATCATTATGAGGAGAGAGCTATATTTAGGATGGAAAGGTGACCAAGATGTTCTTTAAGGTCATTTTTTACACAAAGTGTAAACCCTTCACTGATGTATCATTAGACTTAAGGTTATTCTCTGCCTACAAATCATCCAATGAATAGCAGAACATGTGTAAAGATGCCTAGAGCATCCTGTGTACCGTACCCATGCACCAGAGTTCATGGGTAATTCCAAACAGATGAGGCCAGTGAATCACAAGGACCTTTCCCTGTGGACATGTGAACAGATGAAGAGATTTTTTTCCCCTTCCTATGATTGCCAACAAAGCAAAGGGTATAAAATCAGTTTACCTAGGTACTCTGACTTCTCTACTTCCTGATTAGAAAATAGAGATATTTGAAATGTTCCCAAAGAAATGATGTACATCTGAGATGGTAGAGATGCCCTGATCTGGTCACTTTGCACTATATGCATGCATTGAAATGCTTCATTGTAACCCATTAATATGTATAATTACTATGTGTCAATTAAAATATATATTAGTAAAAAATATTTGAAATGTTTCCACTTGTAGGATAATTCTGTTTTGCAGAAATGCCAACTGACTGTGCCAAATTCTTCCAGAAACTATTTCTAAGGGCCTTTTATAACATTTAGAGGCTCAATTAACCATTTCAGACCATTATCATAGTATTAAATGACTAATCAAAATATCTAACCAACAAGAATTATACAGATTTTCTATCTTGCACTTGGGATTCTTAGGTTCTAATTAACATTATTGGAAAACTTAAAATCTGGTTTCTAAACTTGAGGGGCCTCCAACAAGTCAAGTATCAACTGTTTTAATAATTAACAGATAACATGGTCAATGTTTTTCAAGAACTTCAAATACATTATCTCACTTGATATTTATCACAGAAGATAGGCAGGACTTATATTTTTATCTTAATTTGAAAGATGAGGGGAAACTTTTGAGCAGAAGTGCTAAGTCCAAGGTTTCATGTCTGATTAATAACAGCCAGAATCTGAACTCTTTTTGCCTTAGAATGAAGAACTCTACTGCTCAATAACTACTTCTAAAAGAGCGTTATTTATGCACATAGACTGGCTCTGTCATTATAGAATGGTATTCAATAAACATTGATGGATGACCTAAGTTTATTGTAACTCAGGACAATATTTTTATGATTAGTTTTAAATTTTAGTCAAAATTCAATAAGCATTTTTAGCTTAAGTAAAGTATATGAATACATATTTATAGCACACTATATATAATACTTAAGTCTGCAAATATTTTGTGGGTTACTATCTGCTGGCAATAGAGTGGATAAATGCATCCTTCTGCAAATATGGCACTGTGCATGGCTCTTCAATTTCCTATTATGTGAAAAGATGACCTTGAGTAAAACCTCAGGAACGATATTAGATCACTTATCTCTGTCACTCTAGACACCAACAAAATAAATTATAGTAGGTAACTCCATAAATCATCTCAATACACACATTCTCACACACACACACACACACACACACACACACACACACACACACCTTTTGCTTAAGTACTGCAACAACACAAGTAAATAGCTGTCCTTGGTCATTTTTCTCCAGAAAATTTTCATCAGACAGTTTTCTAAGAAAGTTAGGCCTTATGATATCCAATATGAATTGTAGGAATAGTTTCTTACAAGTTAGGATGTGCTTAATGTCAAGAGATTGAAATTGACCCTAATCTAGATACCTACCACAGAGCAGGTACTCAAACACAGGTAAATCAAAATACACATCCATCTCCTGATTCCATTAAAATCTACTTCAGAAAAAAAATATGGGTAATACTGGGATTTACAAATTGATGAATCCTATGGTTAACAGCTAAGACAAGTATTCCTAACTACATATACCTAATAGAATGATATCACAAATCAAAATACTATATACTTTCAGGTTTTCCCTATTATTTTTTTGCCAATACTGATTAATAACTATTTGCTTACAAAGATTTGCCACATTAGTAAGTATTTTTACCAGTTTTATCCACAACAAAATTTATTTCCCAAGTTTGGTCTATGTAAGATTATAACTGGTGTGAAATTCCTATCAAATGCATCAAACTCTTGGGAGCTTCACGTTTTTCTAATTTCAGACCTGTCCTGCCTAAAAAGGTCTATCTATATACCTTATTAGGTGAGGTCCAAAAATCAGTTCCAAGGTCTCTTGAGTGTAGCTTTTGCTTTAGAAAGAGACTTAATGCCTATAGACTCTTCAGGACCTCAACACTTATTGGTTGCAATTCATTTTTTTAAAGCTGGGCATATTGGAGACATGACATGGTGTTAAGTGAACGCTTTCTCAGCTATCATAACGAGCTCCTGTGGGGATTGCACAGACTCACTTTTGGCACGTGAGGATTAAATTCCACAGCTCTGTGAATAGCCTCTACTGCATTCATCTCTGCTGTGCTCAGCCCCCGCCGAGATGCAGCCTCGGGAGAGAATCTGAAAAGCAGAAAGACAAACACCATCCAGTTGGGACCACTGCTTGGGCATCAATCCAGAAAGGCATCTACACATCAAGGGCCCATAAAACCATAGCGAGCCAATGGCATTAGCTCTCCAAACTTCCACTACATGGAACCTCTGAGTGACCCCTCAGATGGAGGCCAGCAAAAACCCCAGCAGAAGCAGAAAGCGTGCTTGCATCTAATAGAGGCAGGAATTGAATTCAGCTGTCAAGTCTTTCTGTCTAAATAGCTAATCTAAATTTTCTATGAAGTACCTGCTTAGGTGAGGGGTCGGGGAAGGACTGACAAGGGCAGATAGTGTAGGAAAAAGAGAAAACCAGGTTACAGAAGAGCGCACTTGGTTAAAAACAGAACTGGGGAGAATTTTAAAGGAGGCTCCCAACCCAATGTCAGTGCTGCGATGGAAGGTTAAGTCTTTGCAGCTTCAGCCGCAGGCGAGCCTGCTTGGGCCGTCCCGGCAGAGGGGGTGCATGCCCAAACTGTGGGCGAGACACCTGCCCAGTGAATGAAAAAAACCAGACCATGCAATCTCTTTCTCACCTCACACCCAGGGCTAACTCCAGAGCTGTGCTTGGCAGGCAGACACCACAGGGGAAGCTGTGACAACCCTGGCCCTGCCCTCCCAAGCTGGAGTCGCTGTGTAGGGAGAAAAGATGTTGCAGTAGGTACTGGCGATCTACAGGATAAAAAAGAATGAAAGAAAATTACTTCGGTCTTAAAGTGCACACACACTTAACAGCAAACCTGTCTGACACAGCAGAGGCTGTTTCCTGTTCTCTGCTTTTCAGTGCTACAAGAGGAATTGTATCAGGGAAGTGGAAGCGTTTATGAACTCAAAAACAGTTAAGCCATCTCTACTCTTTCACCTGCCAGTCATCCCTGGATGTTTACAGAAATTCTACATGCCATAGTCACCTGCCTGAACAAAATGGGCAATGTCCCACTGAGATGGCATCTCAAAGGAAACAGACTCTGAGTGGGGAGCTGATGTGGAACTGATAAGGCAAAGACTGTGAGATGACATCCCCTAGGCCACACTGCATTATCCAGTCGTGGACTGTGGAAAGAAGAGGACTATCCAAAAAAAGAAAAAAAAAATAACAACAAAAGGACAGCATTTTTGTGGAAGTTCCAAGCAGGCCTTTTGGTATCTACTGTCTGACAAAAAGAAAAAAGTCACCTCAGAAGCACGGGCTTTCAATAATAAATCCTTCTTTAGGCACCCCACACCCTTACAATACCTACGATACACATTTCCTCCTTCTAGTAGTGAAAGAAAAGATCAGCAGGATTTGGGAAATGCATGCTCATAAGCAGGAGTCTCATAGACTAGGAAACTTCCAGAGAAAGCCCTCAGAGGCAACACAGCTGAAGTCAGGGAGGCCATTGGTACCACACCAGTCATTGCTCACTTACTTGTCAGAGACAGCTCTTGCCTTGAGCAAGGCAGCTGTGTAGCATATTGTTGCCGACTTTGGTAAGCTTATATCTGTTAGAGAGAAAAAAAAGCAGGAGCTCTTGTAAGTTTGCCGTAAAAACAACAAGGATTTTCAATACATGAGCATTTTAATCATGCCAATGCAATGACGTACATATTAAGAATATTTAATGCACACCTTACATAAGAACTTCAGTTCTTCCTTACTATAACAAAGTGGTACATGAAACTAAGGTAATTCTTATTTTTGTGAACAATTCATATTTCAAATCTGACTCTTCGGTAATCATCTTCTGCTTTTAAATATGCATTTTCTTTGATATGCTGAGTTTAAACAGAGAATAAATATAAATACATAAATTTAATTATTACATGAATACCTGTGATATGAAAGGTAAATAGAAACTTTTTGTCAGTTATAAAAATTAATTTAACATGCATATGAAATACTAATATGAAGAAAAAAATTATCTAAATTTTTTTTATTGTTGGTCGTTCAAAACATTACATCTTTCTTGATATATCATATTTCACAGTTTGATTCAAAAGGGTTATGAACTCCCATTTTTACCCCGTATACAGATTGCTGAATCACATCAGTTACATCAATTACATTTCCATTGATTTACATA